AAATAATTGCAGGTAAAATCCTCGAATATGATTGACTCGCTTAAAATAGACCCTCGCTTATAGCGGATAATTTTAATCCATTATATGCGAGCTATTTTGGTAGTTCCCTGAAGCAGATTTAGCTTTTGGAAGCATTTACGGTGGTTTGGCTTCACAGATTGCATTCTAACTTGGCCACCAATGTTATACTGTATTTATTAGAGTTATAAACATGTCGAAAAGTTCACAATATTTAGTGAGCTTGAGCAGGTTCATCTCAAGCAAATATATGTGCTCGTATGGCTATAAAAAAATCCACTGTGTCACATATTTGGAAAAACTGCGACAAAATTGAAAATGACTAGAAATCAAATAGTCAAAAGAAAAAAATGTAGCTGCATCCCCAAGTCGATGATATGCTACTTAAATGGTTTCAACAAAAGTGTGCTAATAATTTTCCAATAAGTGGACCTATGCTATAAATCAGGGCTGAGGAATTTGGGAAATTGATTGGAGATTACTTCAAATGTAGTTTCAGTTGGCTAGACAGGTTTAAGAAAAGACATAACATTGTTTTTGGAAAAATGTGTGGTGATTCAGCTTCAGTTGACAAGAACGTAATCAATGACTGGATAAAGCTGATAAATTAAATGGAGGGAAACTATCAAAAGAGCGAATAGTTGTTATGATTTGTGCTAATGCTTCTGGCACGAGTACTGAAAAACGGAAACTATTGATAATAGGTAAGTGAATGAATAGAAATTCATGTTGTAATTTTTTTGATATTCAATGGCAGTGCTGCAAAGAATTTATGACCCTTTTTTATTTCAGGGAAACTTAACAATCCCAGATGTTTCAGAAATGTTAAAACAATTCCCGTCGATTATGTTGGAAATAGTAAATCTTGGATGACTTCATCAATTTTTGAAGAATATTTAAGAAAGTTGGACACTGAACTTGTGAAGAAAAATCGTAAAATTTTGCTCATCCAAATATTTCACTTAATAACATAAACCTCCAATTTTTTTCACCCAATGTGACACAGTTCTGCAACCAATGGACCAGGGTGTCATTTAGAATCTTAAACAAAAGTACCGGAAACATATGTGATGAAAATTATGGAGCTTCAAGACGTTGTCAATATTACCACAGCTGTCACCATTTTAGATGCTATAAATTTGCTTACTATTGCATGGGAATTGGTTACTCCAGAAACGATTCGTAATAATTGTTTTCGCAATGCTGGTTTAGGGAAAAACATAACTGGAATAGTCAACGATTTTAATCCAGAAGATGAAATTCCATTAAGTGATTTACTGAAAATTAATAGTTTACTGAATATAGACAAATTTAATCAGTATGTAAATATATTGTCAATAATTTAATAGCAACACAGAAATTGTCAGACCCCAATTTGGTTAATGAAGGATCCGTTGATAACGAACAGAAAGACGAACTAGAAAACAAGGATGAAGAAGAGCTTCCAGTGACAACTAAGGAGGCATTAGACTGCGTGAAAAAGTTGCAACGTTATTTTCAGCAAGAAGAAGACAGTACAGCTACACTTACCAAATTAAATAAAATTCAACTTGCTGTTCTAAATAATTATACAAAAAAACAATCTGTTAAAATGAAAATTACTAGCTATTTTTACCAAATAATTTACGGATTTTACACATACCTACACAGTACGTATGCCTGTAATATGTGTATCAGATTCTGAGAAAATGCAAATTTCAAAATTACTTAACTTTTTTGTATGAAAGTTTATTTATGTAAAACATGTTAAACAAACACATTTTAAGCTTTTAATATGTTATTTCTGCTGCTTTTTTCATAAAAAAAGTGTTTCTTTTAAGATGGTCGTCTGCCTATAATAGACTATTCGTCACAGTCCCGCCGACTCCATCATAAGCGGGTTGCACTGTATATTGTGACACTAGGTCATTATAAGTTTTTACCATCCTCCATTGTCTGATATCGGTTTAATGTGAGTTTAATGCAACATTGTCATTTTCCCACTATTTCGGAGCGTATAACACCGAAGTAAAAGCAAGTGCATGAGGGGGAGGGGATTTAAAAAACGAGTAGCTCAGCTGCATGACACTCTAGAGCAGTGGAACGGTACTTCCAGGTGTTTGACAGTACCGAGTTACTCCGAGTATCACAAATGAGGCACTGGAAAGCAGCTCTGGTAAGCTAGTGGGCAAGTTACTAGATAACAGGAATTGTGGCTTACTGCTAGCTCGAGCACATAAGAGAAGATTTACTTTCACGCACAAATAATTGAGGCAAGCCTTTAGAGGGGCGTGCGTAGGATAGGGCATACACCTTGTCACACCAGTAGATTATATTTATATTTTTATAGTGTCTGTTTCGGTTAATCTAAGTAAAATAAGAACATTCAACTGTTAAAAACACGTTAGTAGCATTTTACAGTATCGCTATGGAATTGTTTTCAACTGTTGGTTACCGTGTAATTACTTTCTATAATTTTCGCCGTTCAACCATAATGGCGTCAAGTAGGTTGACTCTACACCTGCCACGCAACACAGTCATCAGTTCATAAATGATTGTTCAGCACAAGTTAGGCCTTTTGACAAGAAACATTTACAACAGAGAAATTCAACGGATCAATTCATATATACAACTAGTTTTTTCTCTACTCTATAGTACCGTCCATCTAGCAACGTCGCCCTTCCCACCCCTGACTACCTGACGCGTAGTGGTAGGACACTTCTTCTGGCACGCTCGCTCGCGAACACAGAAAGCAAAAGCAGGTATGCGCATCGAAAGCATATCTCCATCACTGTATCCAGATCGACGGAAATGAGTGACAAAATATAATATAAATAAAATAATATCTCATTTTTGAAATTCCAAAAATGATTTGGTCTAAAAAACTACCCATGGTTGGGTTGACCATACGTAACCGAAAAGAACATAGCGAAATCTGCTATAATGACGAATCAGACAACTTTTGGTAGAGACTCTTGACTCCAAACGAACTATCATTCAAATGTTTAATTAACTGAAGGACAGTAGACGACAAGATTAAACAAATGCTGAAAAGCATTGCATCTACGGAGCATAGTACTGTAAACTCAATAATCACAAGTGAGAAGAGCTGGATATATTTTTTTGATCCATCATCCAAAGGTCAAAGCTGACTAGGCTTTCGAAAATTAGCCAATGGAATCGATTTCCTCGGCAAGGTTAATAGCTCATAAGTATTTATTTCTAAATTATTTGGAAATATTCAGGTTGTTACACATTTCTCTTGCACAACAAACATATGTTCTTTCTTGAATTGAACACCCTATATTTTATTAGGTATTTGAAAAGGCCTTTCCAAAACAAGAGAAGATTGATGTAATTTACCATAGGGTTTTGATCATTATTTGTTTAGTTATATGGATTTTGATCGTCATTTGTTATTTTATAATCTAATGTCTATGTCTGATAATATGAAATGTCTATACAAGGTGTTGGAAAGGGCAAAATGTAGTTTTTCTCAAACATTTTGAATGGAAGAGCATTTATGTTTTTGCAAAATCAAATTCGTCTTTTTATTAGCTTTGTTTTGATACCAGGCTTATACTAGTTTGTTTGAACGGTGACCACCACATCGTATCATCCATTAAAACAATAACTCCTTTCTACAGCTCTGTGCTTGGACCAAGGTTACTGTATTCCATAAATATCTAATTCATACACCAAAAATAAGATTTACTCATAGAACCTTGATCTAGTTTCCTTTTTGGTTGCTCTTAACTAAAACGCAGCCGCTTTCTCTAGGACGCCGAAGATTAGTCTAATTTAATTAGGCAAATGAAAAAAAATCAATTAGTAATACCTGGGAATCAAATGAGAAGTGCCTAAAGTAAAAAATGGGATATTAATGCTTTTATTAACTTGTGTGATTGAATCTTCAGTTATATAGTCACTAATATAAATTATTCGAGTGCACTAGCTGATAAACCATCGACACTGTCTTGTAAAGCTCCCTATATAGTAAGAAGTCTCTTTGTATTTCCTACAGAACAATCTACATAATATTACGATTAATATTTTTAATCTCATTGTTAAAAACATCGTGGTCTGAGTGGAAGCGATAAACAAATGAAAACTAAGTAAAGCTATAAAAAGGACTTTTTCATGGACAAATTAGATATATAAGTTAGTGACCCTGGTGTAAACACAGAACTTTGAGAAGAAGTTATTGGTTCCAAGGATGATTCAATGTAATGTTTCAATAGATAATTACAGGATTTTCTAGATATTTCAGAAAGAAGCAGATAACCATTCACATAAACTAGTATAAGCCTTATATTAAAATAAACCTTATAAAGAGACGCATCTGGTGGTACAAACATTTAATGAAAAATAAATAAAGGCATTTTCTCTAATAATCCTAAAAGTCCTATAGTGGATTATATCACCTCCTTGCTTTAGTCAGGCCTCAATAAATATCTAGTGGTCTTTCATTACAAAAAAATATGTTTGTTGAGCCACAGAATTGTGCTATTTCCAAATAACTTATAAATATACACCTACGAGATATATTTTTATATTTTCTACAAAGGTGTTACGTTGGAGCATGGTGTATCCTATATCAGGATGCTTATACCGAGGCTCATACTGTTTTTATCTCTTTTATCAGGACAGAAAGTCAAGTCTCAAAACTCTGTAATCTGTGTGTTATCGAAGAGAGAAGATACTTTAACATCGAGAAAAAATGTAGGAAATCCTTCTTTATCTTACATTTTTGGTCAGTTGGCCATTTTTCTGTGAAGACTTTTGTTTTGGATTGGTAAAAGTTAGACACTACGCTTTTTCTTAGTCATTTTGTTAGAAAATATCTACAGGACTCGTTAGTTTCCAGTGTTACTATTTCGACTGAGTAATCTTTGTGAATTTTTTTGACTATTTTTATCGCTTTTCATGCCGACAAACATTTCATATGTAAAGCTGAAAACAGATCATTTTAGTTTGCGTTAGTGCTTGAAAATGAATTATACCTGATTTCGTTTCAAAAGAATGTTGCCTCTACAGGATTTGGGGGCACTCTAGCAGCAAGGATAATCAATGATAACAACTTTGTTCTTTTTCAGCTTTATTGTACAAAAATATAAAATAACTATGTGATGATGAATCAGCAATAAATTTCAAATTTTTACAAGCATATCACAGAATCTAAAACAAAATAACTGTTGTAGTTTAGATACTACATACGCTATCAGAGTCTCGGTAGTGCACTAACAAACTTAAAAAACTCTTTACATGCAAATAAAGCTATTTTATGTTTGAGTTCATGCTTCATCCTTATGTACAAAGATTACAAAGCCTCAGCGGACAAAATGATTCTCAAAGGCAGCGCAAATGTACAAAAAATTGCCAAAAACATTTTTATATCAACATTATTCGTTACTGCGCTAAAAAATGATGAGAACAAATATAGTAAGACATTGCCCAGTCTGATAGATCAAGACTTCCAAAGTTGTGGAAATATGTGCCTAACCTTAAGGTTTTGATATCATACGATTCTATAACATCACTTGGATTCGGAGTGTTATTCTGAAGATAAATCACAGCTTACCAACGCAATAGCAGGAAAATCTTTGGAAATCAGTGCCCTCCAAAGTCGTGACCTCCCAGGCCTCCTTCAAATCCTCCATGACCACCTCCAAATCCTTCCTCAATATGCCCATATCCGCTATCAGAACCTGCTCCAAAACCTCCATGTTCACCTCCAAATCCTCCATCTTCACCACCGTGACTAGTATGTATGATTATTGGCACATGTTTCTTCACAAAGTTGTACTCTGGAACAGGGACTGGAACTGCTTTATGCACTGGCACTGGGTAAGGCTTGGGGATATGCACAGGTACCTTCACTGGATAAGGTACTTTGTATGGGACTTTGTAAGGTACTGCTACGTTTTTGATGATTTTCACAGGGTAAGGCTTCTCCACTGGAACTGGGTAAGGCTTGGGGACATGGACAGGGTACGGCTTGTCCACCTTGATATGAACTGGTACTTTTACTGGATAATGTATCTTCTTTTCGATGTGGACAGGGTAAGGATGTGGAACTGGTACGTGTTGTACTTTGTGGATTGTTATGTGTTTGATTAGACCTTCAGAGCTGATAGATGATCCGCCAGATGCGCTACCACTGCTTCCGAAGTCACCATGTCCTCCAAGATCGAGGTCACTTCCAAAGAAATGACCACCCCCAAGTCCATGGTCACCTCCCCCACCGAAGCCGCTGTGGTCTCCTAACAGAAGTCCACGTTTTTCCTTCTTTGAGGCATCCTTGTCTTTGTCCTTATCCTTTGCAAGGACTGTTGATGTTAACAGCAATGTGCAAATCTAGAACAATATATATTTAATGTAACTCTTGAAACTTATTCTGTGGTTGTCTTGGTCATAGGACTCCATTGTTTGTCAGAATCAAACCACACATATGTTTTGATTTCTGTTTATTATACGACGTTTCGGCCACAATATTGGCCTTTTTCAAGTACAATGGAAACTGATCATATTTCGTTTAACTGGCTACCAGGTGATAGTTAATTTATTTCTTCTTTTCACGATCTCGCCACGCTACAAGACACTTCAGCTTATTGTCGCAACATACTGTATATCAATAAAGAAAAAAATTAACGTCACCTGAAACACATAAACAAAAATATACTGTTACTAATTGTCTTTGTATTTGAAAAAGGCAATCCTGGTAGTCGAAATGTCGTACGATAGAGACAAAGAAATCCTACAAAAAAATTCGATACATGCATCCGGAGTTTTTGACGATTTCCATTTTTTGAGCGATCTAGATAGATTCAAATTCAAATACATTTTACTTGCCAGAAAAAAACATTTTATCGTATTATACCAAAGATTAAACTCGATATTTTATGCCCATGTTTTTCTTAGTAAAACGAAGCTACAAATGCTGCACTACTTTTGAAAGAGCATTAAATAAGTAGTCTTTAAGGTAATTTGCTGATTCAGACTGGTACATTTGTTTTTACATTTTGAAACATTAACTGTTTATTAGTGAGACTATGGAATAATGCTCCTGTACCAGGGAAGAAAATTGTACCGTGTCTGATCGTAATTACCTATTTTTGCAATTTTCATATTTTTTCCTAAATATGTTAAGCATGGTATTCTTAAATGGATAACCCTGCCGGTGCCGCCTCCCACCACGAATTTTTCGGAAACCACTGATTAAAAGAAAAAACGCCGAGACACGTTAAAAGATTAGTCAAGGGGGTCACCTTTTTAACCAAAAACTACTTCACTCTCTTTCGCCCTTTGTCCCCCAGTGTCATCTCCTCAAACATTTCAAATGACAAGGGATATCGATAGGCGATGTTCAAATTCTTGACAGACATTTTCAAAAACAAGTTGTGGGATATCATGGCAGTTATTACACCAACTACAAAGTTGTAATTTGGATACAAAAGACAGCTGCACTTATTATTTTCTGTTCGCAGTATTTCGCAAGTTTTCCGACTTCAATGACAACAGTTGGAATTATTCAGTTTTTAGTAAAAAGAACCTACAAATGCTATACTATTTTTGAATGACGATTAAATATGTAGTCTTTAAGGTAATTTACTGATTCAGTCTGGTATATTTGTTTTCACGGTAATTACTCAAACTTAAGTTAAGGTTTTCACATTGAATCAAAATTAGTTAGTAGTTCTTTATAGCCATAAAAGGCAAGAAAGGAGCAAAAAGTAGTGATTTTTTGAAAAAAATAAAAAATAAAACTGGCAATGTCTCGAAAACTAGAAAACTTTTACTAAGGTCATGTTTATTTTATCTGATTGATCTAAAGTCAATCTACCTCCCATGTCACCGTGGCGTGTTATTTCTGGAACGTTTTCAGAATTTTCTGAAAATGTCACATTTTAAGGACGCGGATTTATGCTGAACGTTTCTTTGTTTTTCATGCACATAAAATTCACTGCACTATGTAAACAAGTACGTAACTAATCACAAGGCGAAACTCACCAGAAACTTCATGATAGATGATAAATGAGACAACTGTACCAAAATCGTGGGTGCGATCCGTTTTTATACCGCGGTGCATCCTCCCTAAGTGATAGTACTCTGGTGGTACCCTCACTCCTGCCCTGCCCTGATGCTGCGGAAAGATCTTCATGTGCACTATCGGCTGTGCAGCAAGTGATCTGAGACCTGTGATTGGCCAGATTTTAATTGGAACTCTGAATGGACATTAGCAGTTATTTCATGCATTTTATTAGATCGAGATGCAAGATTTGACTCACTTAGTATGGTTACTGTAGGTCTTATTATTTGCGATTAAAGAGTGTAATACAGGGTCCGCCAAAGGAACCTGACGTTTTCAGAATGGATAGTACGAAGCTGTTTTTTGACGTAGAACATCGGTTACAGTGGGCAAGACATCGGTAGTAGATGCCATTTCAGTAGTCATGGAGCTGTGGACAAGTGAACATCGCGCATTTGTTGTCGAGACGTATTTTAAAAATCACGACTCGGTGATCATTACACAGCGTCTATTTCGTACACATTTCAATGTCGGACGTCATGGTTCTGTTCCATGCCGTAACACAATTAAGTTGTGGGTCAAAAATTTTCGTCGATCTGCATCAGCAATAAAAGCTAAGCCACCAGGAATGCGTCGAACAGTTCGGGCTCCAGCCAATATTGAGAGGGTGCGAACAGCGGTGCAGCAAAGTCCACGTCGTTCAGCTAGGCTACAAGCAATTAGTCTAAGGCTTTCAGAAACAACAGTGCGGCGTATTTTGCATAAGGATTTACATTATCACCATTACAAATTAGCGATGGTTCAAGAACTGACAGCTGAAGACTTTGTGAACCGTTTGACTGCAAGCAACCGGCTTCTGGAACTTTTGGATGAAAACGCTTTAGGTGGCTTAATTATGTCTAATGAGGCGCATTTCGAGTTATCAGGCTACGTAAATAAGCAGAATTTTCGCTACTGGTGTGCAGAAAACCCGAGAGAACTTCACCAGCGACCCCTTCATAGTCGCAAGGTTACTGTTTGGTGCGGAGTGTCGCGATTCGGCATAAGTGGACCCTATTTTTTTGAGGACAATGCTGGAAATTCTGTCACGGTCAATTCGCAACGTTATCTGGAAATGTTAAACACAATTTTGGAACCAGAGCTTCGTCGACGGAACATAGATTTAAATACTGTATGGTTTCAGCAAGATGGCGCCACAGCGCATACAGCACGAGCAACAATGGTTCGACTGCGAGAAATGTTTCCAGGAAGAGTCATTTCTCGGAATAGAGATGCTCCTTGGCCGGCAAGGTCTCCCGATCTCACGGCTTGTGACTATTGGTTATGGGGTTATCTCAAAAGCAAGGTATATTTAACGAGCCCAAGGACCATTGAAGAATTGAAGGAAAACATTCGCAATGAAATTAGCGCGATTGCGATGAGTATGGTACAGCGCGTAATGGGGAATGTGCGAAACCGTTTGGGAGAGTGTGTCCGCAGTGAAGGACATCATTTGACCGAAGTTATTTTCCATACATAAAATGGCATGTAATACACTTTCGATTACTTATATATGAAAATAAATATCTTGAAAGATACATTTGTAGTTTCATATTGAAACTCATCAGGTTCCTTTGGCGGACCCTGTATAATGCAAGAACCGGTTAGGGTCAATTTCAACTTATTAAGTCCACAAGTTTATCCATTGTATGGAATTCTGCATCATCTAAGCGAAGAAAGAAGACGTATTTTGTAGAATAGACAATTCAGGCACATCCAATCGTCTAGTGACTAGATAATAGGATGTGTCTGACTAGACTCTAGTCCCATAAAATTCGAGAGACAATAGCAGTTGTTATCCAAGAAAACTCACTCCAATGAGCATGAGCGGTTGTCACATAAGTAGATGAAAAAGCTGATGTCAGTTTTTTTGCTGAGTTTGACAGAAGGCTCCGAAAAGCTCATTTTCCTAATACATTTTATGATTTTTTGAATGACATATTTAAGATCAGCGTTCGAAGTTATTTAAATTTACCGAGTTTCGTCAATTTGTAGGCTCAGGGGAAGAAAGTGTAAATTTTGAGTACTGAAACATTGTTTTGTACTTCTTCCCTTATTCCCAAAAAAGAAATTAATAAAGTTTTACATCACGCTAAATTTTTCAATCACAAATAGCCCTTACTCCCTAAATACTGACAAAATGATAGTACTATACCACCTGGTCACCGGATGCCGGTAACTTTGTTAGTTCTGGTCAGACATTAGCATATTTTCAACCTACAGATAGCGGGCGTTGAAGTTACTTTGCTGCCCTAGAGCCTAAAGAAATCAATGAGATAAAAGTGGGTCATTTTTCTATACTGGAGCAATCCTGTTGGTAGTCATCTTGATACCGGAATTCCGCGATTAATATGAGGGACTTAATGACGCCGATCTTTGAACTGCCTCAGGTTAGCAGAACTGGGAAAAGCCTCATCAGGCAATTGTTCCATAATCTCGACACCCTAGGAACCAAGGAGCGGTTGTATCGGTCAGTACTGGATGTACAGAGTTCGATAGACTAGAAGAGAGAGAAGAGAGAGATGTTTCACTGTCAGTCAAACAGACCTGCTCTGAACAACATCGAGAGCAGAGGATTTAGTTGGAGCGGTAACACTTCAAGCATGTCAGCAGTACTCCAGGCTAGATCTACCGAAAATGAGCATATTTACACGCTCAACCACACGGTACTAAACAAATAGCTAATTTAAAAAATTCAACCTGCTATTATTCAAAATTCACTTTAAATAGCATCACATAATGAATACTTGTCTATGACATCCTATTCCCTACATTGTCTACTTTGTCTACACCGTCTACATTGTCCACATAAATATCAAGATGATACAGATATATTTGCCGGAAAGCTCCTTTCTTTATTCTAAATAAGTCTTTCCGACATGTTAGGATTTTTATACGACAATATTCGAAACCTAAGATCCAAATTACCCTAGAATACTAGTTTTCGAACACTTGCAGGCACAAGTGACAAAAATGGAAATTTTGCTTTGTGAAACTATCAGAATTTATCCTATTTTTCAGTTGTAGAAAATTCTGAAAATCTGATATTTCCCTGCTACATTTTCACTCTACTATTGAACTGGTTATGTGATCTCTGCAGTCACGTTTTACGCATTACAGATATTTACAGCAAGGATACTCAAAATAAATTTTCTTCTGGCATTGCGTAACAGTTTGTTAACAAATTGCAGTTTTGGTTTGATAATGTTTCATCTAACTGTTCTTTGCCGAATGCTTTGTTATTTTACTCAGTTAATTAAGTGGATGCTATAAAAACAACCTGCGTTTTCGGTACGCCAAATAGTTATAAATAAATACATCACCTATATCCCAAGCTTCGCAAAAGGTGTCCATCGTAATAAAATGAAAATAAACATTCCAGATTTCTTATAAAGACTTCTCGACTGGGCGAAAAGCAGGATTGCAGAAAACCTGAGGAAGCTCAAAAAGCCTAATGACGCTTCAAAACCTTTTTCACTAGTTTGTAATTAAAGCTCGGTGAGAAGTACCTCATTCGCACAGATCGTGCTGAGAGTAACAAAGTACTACACGAACCATATGCAGCAAAAATATTAGGAAGCAGCCTGACGTAGCTCTGGTTGTCTAGTTACGGTACCACGGAAGCTCTTTAATGGTACTTTCACATTCCTTCAGCTTTGATCAATGTAAATCGTACTACTACTTTTAATAGATCCCTGAGTGTATTGGGTTATCTAAGTTGTGGATCGATGTTTGAGATATCCATTTTTAATGAATGCTAAAAGCCATTAAGGCGGCTCCGACGCAGTGAGTTTCAAGCCATTTACAAGGGTATATCTGTTTCAAAACTGACACTCCATATTTCAATATTTTTGAATGAAATTCATACAGTATGTTGAGAAGATAATTGCCTAGGGTGCTATAGGAGCACTTTTTGAAATCTTGTTTTATGATGGGTTGTGTACTTTTTCTGTTCAACTTCGCGATTTTTTTAAAAAGAACCTAGTGAAAAAAATGAAAAAGTGGACCTATAGCACCCTGTGGGGTTTTGTTTTCAGTACTCTATGAAAATTTCATCCAAAAATATCAAAAAATAATGTGTCAATTTCGAAGCGCGTAAACCTCTACAAATCGTATTTTGTACGAATTTTGTCTACTGTTTCGTGCTGCCAACCCAAGCGTTGCGGCGCAATGTAAGAACTAACGTCATTGGTGAAGAAGTGTTGTAATCGCGAAAAATTTCTAAAATCAGACGATATGTTTTTTAAGTCATATGATATCTACATCACGAAAAACTGTATCACTCATCAACTTGGAAATAACCACTCGGATTTTTATGAAATTTCCACACGGGGTTACTAGTATGCCAAAGCTTTGTAGTTTTAGTCCAGTGGCAACGGTGCTATAGGCAAAAAAGAAAAAGTAACAATTGCTGAAACTCCGTTTTTGACATTACAGGGGTTCCTTATCATAGACAGAAAAAATTGTACTGCTTAAAAAGTGGGAGTTGGGTGAAGGTGATTCTGAATGTTGCATCTTTGATATCAGTGAAACACGTTCTATTATTAAGAGGCTTATGATCCCAGTGATAATAGGAAATCCGACGAATAATGTGCTCACGATTTGAAAAAATCGGTACCTGCTCTATAGATTTGACACCAAGAGCCAACAGATCTATCTGCAACTGCCTACTGTAGGGAAGAATGAATTCGGATATCACTCCAGTCAAGTATAGGGGAATTTAGCGTGGAACTTTAAAATTATCGATATGTCAAGGAAATATGTTTTTGAGAACGATAATTTGGTAGATTTTATACCTGCATTTTCATTTGAATTTCATGAGCCGTGAAATGTACCAAATTTCGCCGTTACGTTCAATTTGTGTTCTGCAGTTTGTGATGTTTTTCTGGATATAAGCAGGACACAATTGCCTAAGGTGCTATCAGAACGTTTGACAAAATTTTGTCTTTTCGCAAGAATTATGGTGGGTTGAAATGCTTACTATCGAATTTGTGCTCAACTTCTTGATATTTTAAAAAGATCCTAGTGGATAAAATCGAAAAAGTGGATCGTTAGCACCCTGTGGACTTTGTTTTTAGCACGCTGCAAGAGATTCATTTGGAAATAATGAAAAATGAAACGTAAACTGTGAAATGCAAGTCGGTTTTTGGGCGAGATTCGTCTACTGTTTCGTCCTGCAAGTCCAAACGACGTGACGGTGCGTCCGACTAAGAAAAAATGTATTCAAATAATTTGATATATTTCCTAAAATAAATTCAAGAACTCAAATTACAATTCGTTTATTCATG